CACAATTAAACATGAACAGGTCCATATATGCCATCACCTCCTTGGAACTCTCCTCATAATACACTTCAAATATAAATTTTAGAAAGAAAAGTAAAGATGTCATAGCTGTATTATCAACTATTTTATTAGTAGGTGCCTGCCTCATCTACGAAAGCCACAAAAGAACTGCTCTGCAGAGGATCACTCTAGAAAGTAAAACTTACAGCAGGGATCAAACCATGCGTATTGTTTACAATAGGAAAGTTCAGGCACATTTAAATATTTACTATTTATTAGCCAGGTAGTAAACAGAGGTATTCACAAAGTTTACTAATTCATAATTATTTAACTAGTTCATGGTCACTATTGATTGATAAGTATTCTACTTTCATTGTTCCACAAACATTTCAAAATGACACACCATAACCTTCTGCCAAGACTTCTTGTGCTGGCAGTTTTAAGTCTCCAACTGCTCAGAGGCTCACCTGACAGGTCCAGCTCCTTGGTGGAAGACAAATTGGCCAGACTCCAGCTGTCACTGCGGGCCGCCAGGACAAACTTGTGAGCATTGATGTGCCTGCCCCCAACCTTTATCTTCAGATCACTGATGAAGAAAACATATCCACAAATATAAAAACAAAAAAGTCATAACTAGATATGGCTAGAATTCACAGCTGACAAATATATAAGTATTGATCAACATGCATGTGCAATAGAAAAAAAAAATCACAGCAAAACTATTTCTCTATGCTACCACTGAATTCTTATGGGTCGAGTTTACAATATGTTGCTAGACATGTTTTCTATTTCTAAATTCCAGTTTTAGTTCACATGGGATGTTCTGCTTTAAAAACAACCTCTAATAGGATTTCTTACAGTGGTGAACCTACAAGTTAAACAGGATGATTAATATTCATATAAAATGTAGAAAAGGTTTTATGCAGAATGAAGATAAATCATCAGGAGAAAGAAAGCTTAAAGATTGTGAAGGCAGCTATGAAACTACAATGCTGCTAAGCTTCATATCATATTAATGCTCAAGCAAGGTTCAACAGAAAAATGATGAACAAATTAGCTTTGATAAATTAGTCACGTATACGAAACCCAATATCTAGCCTCCTGTTCTCACCAGAAAACATTCAGACCTATTACTGGCCATCTTTTACTCAATGATTTATAAAGAAATACAGTAGAAGAAACCTTTCTTTCAAACATGTTTTCCATACTTATGACATACCATTACGTGAAAAGAGCTTTCCAAATAGTTATTTATGCTTAACTCTGCAATATCAAATGTTAACAGAGGAAAGCATGTGGGCAGTTAACAAAAACCTAAGAATGACCTACTGAGCTAACACAACATGTGCCATATGGCTATGTTGGCAGCAATCCAAAGCCATTAATTGTCATCATCATCCTGCTTGTATTTAGACTTTTGTTTGTTTTCATACTTCCTTTTAAAATATTTTTAGGTTGGAAAGCCTTTAGAAACTAAATACACAAAATTACATGAGAAAAAAGAAAAAAAACTATTACATGAATTAACTCATCCACTTAAAAGGAGACCCACATAGAATACTGTTTCTATACAATGCTTGATGCAGACATTTTACCCCACAAAAGCACTGTCTAGAACATACTTTATAATTATGTAAGCATATCAACAATTCTAGTTCTATTAAAAACCTAGCTGCAACTAATTATGTTAGATTAAAAGAGTAATAGGGTCCTTATTATTTGAATTATTATAAACTACTGTTAACATAGTAAAACGTTATTAACCAATAAATGAAGAAATGGGATTAATATTCCATTTAAAACAGAACATAAAATTCTGTTTCAAATCACATCCTACATAAAGTTTTAAAAATTTAATGAAAACAAAGAGCTGGCTATTTACAAAGCATATATAATTTTTAAACTCTAAATTTACTTATCAACTATTAATCTAATAACTTAAGTGAATATTCAGTTTACTATTTCAGCCACAAGTCTTTTACCCACAAAAATTATAAAACTAAATGTCTCTATAAAATTCCTACAACTATCCATGAATATCAGGTCAAATTTTTTTCTCTTTTGTAGTTGAACATACCAAAAGGAATAAAGGATTTCACTAATAATTTCTAATGATAGCTTTTTAAAAATACAATTCAAAAATGGAAAATTGGATAAGTCTATGAGGACTGTATGTAGAAACTAGTAATTTTTTCCCATTTCATTTTAGTCGATTAAAGACCGTTTCCTTTCAAAATGAGTACTAGGATGTTGTTACTGGACAAAAAGAATAAAGAGCTTCTTGCTAGACTTTCTCGATCAAACATTTTAATAGGAAAAAATTATAAGCTTGGTTGCTAAAAAAATGAATGAAATAACTACATGTAATCATCATTTTTAGCTATCTTATGGGACAAAACTCTTTTCCTGAACTTAAGTAAAAATAAATGTACCAATTTCATCCACATTTCTCAATTTAAAAATTTTAACACCAACTTCAGTTACTCCAGTTACTGAGCAGCACATAACAATACTATTTAAATTCTTCAACAAAATTGGTAAAAGAGCATCTGCTTTAGAAACTGATTTTCCAATTCAGTTACTCCATTTCAAAAGCTCAGTCCTCTGAATGCTCCGTTCCCCACCAGTCAACTGTAGATAACACAGGTGTAGTAAATCTTCTTTAGATAAAGGACAAGTTTTAGAAGATGGAGAGAGACCCACAGTAGCCATGAGATCATACCACAGTTGACTAGGTAGGTAAGAAGAGAACAGAATGGAAAACAGCCTAGTCTCTTTCCCATTGTCTCCTAGAAGGACAACAGTATAATGAATGCAATTAATTGATAAGTAATTAAAAAAGTGCTGGGAAATAAAAATGGTGTAGATGATAGAGGCTTTCTTTATCCCTCTTGTGACCAAATCAGAGTAGTGACAGAAACACAGAGCAAACACCAAGGAAAGTCGCCTGGGATCTAGACGAACAGAAGCACCACAACTAGGGAGAGAAATAATTAATCAACCTGCAACAGGAGAGGGTAGGAGGGGGTGAAGACACAAGGCTGCCCAGTCCCAGTGGCTGAGTAGGACTGAGGCTGTGGTAGGGGCTGCAGCAGAAGCCTCTTAAAGAGGCCGTGTCCACGAGAGGACTTTCGCAGTGACGGACCTGTTGCTCTGACAACCAGCGCCGGGTTGGTTCTGCAGGGAACACCAGGGACTTACAAGAGGACACTGAGTTGTCGGAGTGAGAGCCGGAGGCGAGGCTCACTCCTGGACAGTAGTGCCTGCAGTGTCCATCGCTACTCTGTAGAACCCTCCACCCTCCTAGTGTGCGGACACAGCACCGCCATAACCAAGATGTCATCAAATTGGATAACAGAGGTCACTCCGCCCAGAAGATTCCCTGAAACTCTGCCCCCTTCAACTCCTGGCCCCACTCTAGCCACATTCAGGTGTGTCCTCATCCATTCAGGTGCTCCTTGCTGAGCAGTGCCAAGACGCCACACTGGTGCAGCAGCTGGCCTCGGTTTCCAGTGTGGTTTCTTGAGGCAACTATAAGCACTGCATCTGGAGATTGTTTGTTGAATCTTAACAGGTGGCCTCGGAGAGGCACGGGCTGGGGCTAAACTTGGCCTGCAGCTGAACCCCTTTCAGGACTGTGCCACTAGACACCAACTACACAAAGCCACACTACTAGGACCGGCAGACTTAGGAGCTTTGCTTAGTACACAGACACGGACACAGAAAAAGGTGGGAACACAAAGAAGCAGAAACCATATGAGAGAACAGAACAGAGACCCCAGAATAATGGAGTCAAGCAATCTAACAGATGCGGAGTTCAAAACACTGGTTATTAAGATGCTCAATGAACTGAGGGGAAGTGTAGACGAACTCAGTGAGAACTTTAACGAAGAGATAAAAACATAAAAATGGAAATGAAAATTATAAAAGAGAACGAGTCAGAAATGAAGAACACATGATCTGAGATGGAGAGTATATTAGAGGGAATCAACAGAGTGGATAAAGAGGAAGATCAAACCACCGATATAAAGGATGGAGAAGCCAAGAACATCCAAGCAGAAGAGCAAGAAAAAAGAAGCCAAGAATATAATAATTTAAGGAGCCTACGGACACTATTAAATGTAAAAATATCTGTGTCATAGGAGTACCTGAAGGAAAACAAGACGTTGAAGAGCTATTTGAAGAAATAATGATGGAAAACTTCCCTCACCTGGTGAAGGAAATAGACATACAACCCCAGGAAGCTCAGAGTCCCAAGAAAAAGGAACCCAAAGAGGCCCACACCAAGACACATCATAATTAAAATGCCAAAGGTTAAATACAAAGAGAATCTTAAAAGCAGCAAGAGAAAAACGGTTAGTTCCCTACAAGGGAGCACCCATAAGACTGGCATGTCAGAAAGGCTTGGCACAGCATATTCAATGTGATGAAAACCCAGGATCTACAACCAACAATACTTTATCCAGCAAAGCTATCATTTAGAGTCGAAGGACAGATAATGAGCTTCCCAGACAAAGATAAGCAAAAGGAATTCATCAACACCAAGTCAGTATTACGGGAAATGTTGGAGGGGTTCTTTGAGAAGCAAAATCATGTATCAAAACAGGAATAAAGAGTGGTAATAACTACATTCCTATCAACAAGTATCTCAAATGGAAAAGAATTAGGTGCTCCAACCAAAAGATAGAGTGGCTGAATAGATAAGAAAACAAGACCCCTACTTATGCTGCCTACAGGAGACACACTTCAGATTAAAAGAAACATGCACACTGAAAGGAAGGGAATGGAAACCAAGATATTGCCTTGATGGACCTAAAGAGTATTGCACTGAATGAAATGAGTCAGATAGAGAAAGACAAATATCGCAGTATTTCACATACATGTGGAATCTAAAGGACAAAATCAACAATAAAAGCGGAAATAAACATGTAGTTACAGAGAATATTTTAGGGCTACTAGATGGGAGGGGGACTGGGGGAATTAGAGAAAAAAAGGCAAAGGGATTAAGAGGTACAAATGGATAGTTGCAGAACAGACATGGAGATGTAGAGTTTAGCATGGGGAAGATGGTTAATAATGTTGTAATAAATATGTAAGAGGGAAGAGGAGTACTAGATTTAGTGGGTGACTGCTTTGTGAGTTATGTGGGTCTCTGATCACTATGCTGTACAACTGAAACTGGTATATTATTGTATGCCAACTATAATTGAAAAAAAAAACTCATTGACTTGTACAATATACAGATTGCAAGGACCTTGTCAGCTTACAATCCCTTATTTTTATTTTTTACACCTACAGCCCCTGGTCTTCCTAAGTGGTCTCCCATCCAAGTACTAACCAGGCCCAACCCTGCTTAGCTTCCGAGATCAGACGAGATCAGGCGTGTTCAGGGTGGAATGGCCGTAGACTGTTTACTGTATTTCAATAAAGCTGGAAAAAAAAAAATAAGTAAAGGGAGTACTAATGGGTAAGAACCTTGGAGAATGGGAGAAACTGCCTCTAAGAGAAATATGTCAGGCTTCTCAGCCTGAGCCAGTAGAAATAAAAGTTTTCACTTGTCCTTGGGGAAAAAAAAAAAGAGGAAAATTAAAAAAAAGACAATGAACTATATTTTACAAGTACCTATACCCATTCAATTTAAAAGGCTGGCCTTTAATCAGAGTATAATATTTCCTATTTTTTTGGTATTAAATTTTTCTTTTTTTAAGAAATGATTAAGGTGGTAGATGGCAGTTATGGATTTTAACCTATTTTAAATGTTAAAATTTATTTTGAAATTTTACCAAGTCTTATCTAGTCCAATCATCCATCTCCCTAGTAACCAAATCCTTCATTCTATGCATATTCACACATCCATGTTTCTTCGTGGGTGTGGAAAAGAAACATGGATGTGTGAATATGCATAGAATGAAGGATTTGGCTACTAGGGAGATCATCTCAATTCACTCCTCCATCAGTTCTGGACTTGGCTATTTACAACAACATCCAGCAGCTCTCTGGCTCTCTTCTCTTTATAATTTTACCTATATGATGTTACTAGGTTAATCTTCCTAAAATACTACTTTGATTATGACAGTCTTACAACTCAGAAATACTCTGTTCTACATCTCCTAGAGGATCAAGTCCAAATTCCTCATCTTGGCTTCCCAATATAATCCACCCTACCTTTCCCACCTCTCTCAGTGTTCCCCTACGTGAACATGTACCCTAAATCCTCTGCATGTTCTCATGTTCAGCCACTCCCTCTACTGGTAATATCACTGTCTTTTCTATTAAGTCCTACCTAGTCTTTAATATTTACCTCAAAACTCAAGAACGATAGCTAACAACTGAGCACTTACTATGTGCCAGACACTGTTCTAAGTTCTTAAAACATGTATTTATTAATTTAATCTTCATAACAATCGTAAAGAAAGTAGCAGTATTACTTCCCCATTTTACAGATTAAGAACCTCAAGTACATCATGTAACCCTGTTCACATATATAATAAATGGCCAACTGAGTTTTTAACATAGACTGTGTGGTTCCAGAGTCTACCCTCAATCGTCATGCTAAACTGCCTAATAGTTCCAAGACTCCTTCTTTAACCATCCCAAGAGAAAATGACTTCTCTCTGAATCCCTGAACATGAAAGCTAATTTCTGTCTGTATTAGTGATACTATCACCATGACTCCAAGCTCTGTGCTGAAGATGAGCCAAAACCTTGCCTCAAGGAGCTTACATTCTAAAAACTAAAGGTTTGCTAATATCCCAATTAAAGAGAAATAAACTTGAGAAGAAAGTCAGTAAGAGAGAAGTTGCAACGTGGCCTGAGAATAAAGCAAAAGGGCCAGCTTCCCCAAACTGGTCCTGTGTCCAGGAGCTCACCTATACTGTTCCTGCTCATAGAGGTCGGCCACAATTGTCAGCAGACGGCTGATGAAGGACTCACTGCTATTTTCCTTGTTTGCTTGTGCGGCCAAAAGAGTACATCTCTTCTCTGTCTCTGCCAATTTCTTCTGCAGCTTGACATACTCTTGTCGGAGAAGCATCAAATGCTTCTCCAACTTGGCGACCTCCTCTGCAAGGGAAACAAATAATAAAGTTTACCATGGCAAGAGTAAAACAGATAGCATTCACTAATCCCTCATATAGGATGGCTACCAAAATGACAAGTCACATGGTGTTTCCTCTATTTCTTAGTGATACTCCTACAGGACCAAGAATGGTTTTGTTTCTGGGTGCCACTGGATCAAAAAGACCATCATGGTCCAGGGATTTCTCTTGTTTCCCTTGAAGATCAATATTCAATATATGACCACGAACGGACACACATAAAATGCTAACATGTACCTGCCCTGCTAATCTTTTACCATAAAGCCAGGAGTCTCAAGGAAAGAAGATAACCAAAATCACCTAGGAGGCTTTTTCAAGCCACTAGTAGTAACTTCTACATGTCAGATGCTGTTCTAAAAGCTTTCTGTGAATTCTCTCATGCAAGCTTTATGACAATCCCTGAGGTAGGTCCTATTACTAGCCACACTTTACAGATGAGGACACTGGAGCACAGAGAGATTAAGAATTTGCCCAAGGTCACGAAGCTGATTAGAAGTGGGGTTAGGAGGAACCCAGGCATTTTCATTCCAGGGCCTGCGATCTATTAACCACTACTCCACACTAGGTGACACCTGCCCTCCTTCAGGAGAGGATCAGGTCAGACAATAACGGTTCAGATGGAAGCAAGTCATGTTCCACAATTGTGCTGGTTGAGAACCTTTATATTTGACTCATTCAATAAAAATTATCAAGTGTCTACTAGGTGTCAAACACTGCACAATGATAAGCAAAATCAGATATACCTTTCCTCAAAGCTTTTAGTTACTGGGGAAGGTAAACTTGTATATTATAATAACGATTATAAAAATCAAATGCAAAACTACAACTCTAATGAGTACTAGAAGGAAAGAACAGAGCTATGAGAACCTATAATAAAGAAATTTAACTTAGGACATTCATGGGAGGCTTCCCTCAGGAAGTAAATAGTCAAGAAAATTCTCCTTTAACTGGGCTCCAGAGTCTTGGTGAGAAATCATGCAACCATGTAAATTAGTACCTCTATAAATCGAGGTCTAACCACAGAATCACAGTGCTGCTATAATCATTCTCTGGGCCTCAGTCCCTTCGATCTTCTACTCCCCACCACAGATATTCCAAATCCTGACACCATTCTCAAGCCCATCTCCCACCCGATCTGCATTTTCAGCCAGTGTCTTGAGAAAACTAAGCACTTACTTCCATGTACCAGCAACAACTCCCAAATACTCCATGCTTTCTCACAGAAAGTATCTCCCTCTGGTCCAAGTTAAATCCTTCCACCTATGCTCCAAACCCATCACTCTCCTTGGGTCCTTTCCTTTATAATCAATCACCAATTCTCCAACAACTTCAATCTCTTTTAACTGGGTCTTTCTCATCAGCACATAAACCTGTTCAAGTCTCTATTAAAACAAAACCCTCCTTCTATGCCACATCTGACCAACTGCTGCCCTTCCATCTCTAGGTACCACACACCATTTCCGTACCCACTATTCCTCTGCCATTACCTCCTTCTGTCTCCAACATTCCCTTAAAACTCCTCTTATCAATGACCTTCTAATTACCAAAAGCAATAGACACTTGCCAGTGGTCCTCCTCCCAGACCTCTACAACACAGCATATGATATTGTTGTCCAACCTTCTTTTCTTCTATTCTTTCAGCAACCACAATGCCACCCCCTCTCTCCGATTATGGTTCTCTGTCTGTCACATGCTTCTCTACACCCCTCCCAATGCTTGACCACTGACATTTCCCAGATTCTATCCTTGGCCCTCTTAACTCTATGTTCTCCCACAGCAGCTCCACCAGGTCCTTAGTCTATGCTTGAGACCAAAATCTAGGTGCCAATGATGCACAGATCCATCTCTTTAGACCAGATCTTTCTTCTTAGCTTCGTCTATCCATCTTCCCAATAGACATTTCTCCCTAGTGGCCCACAGGCACCTCAAATTCACTATGCCCAAAACAAAACTTCAAGCAAATTTGCTCTTCCCTTGTGTAGTCCCTATAGTAATAAATGATACCACCATCTATCCCAATTACCTGAAGATGAAATATGGGAGTAATCTTAGATGTCTCCTACTCACTCACATGGCCCCAATCCTTCCCCAACTATAAAAAACTGACTTCACTATTTCAACATCTCTGGGAATCCTTCTTGTCTTTTGTATCCCCATCTCCACTATGATATTAATTCAAACCCTTGCTCATCATATCTGATCATCAATGTGAAAAGATTTACATCTGCATCTCAGAGCCTATCACAGGGCCTGACACAGAGGCTCACTAAATATTTGATCAACAAGTGAACAAGCAAAATCCAGTTTTATAAAAGCTCCCTTTCCTCTCAACTGTATCCCTCCCCCACCTGCTACCCAATAGCTTCTCTCTCTCCTTTTTTTTTTTTTAAATACCTATAGAACCTGGTATTCCTAGGTGGTCTCCCATCCAAGTACTAACCAGGCCCGACCCTGCTTAGCTTCTGAGATCAGACGAGATCGGGCACGTTCAGGGTGGCAAAGCTGTAATAATTACCTCTTTATAAACACAGATACAATAAAAAACGGATTTAAAAACACAGAATGGTTAAATAAACTAAGTGGCACATGAGTTTGCAGTTATTATGCAACTATTAATGTTTTCAAAGAAGTATATAATATTAAATATACATGTTCAAAGAATAAATATTAACAGAAAAAAGCAAGCTGTAAAACTAAATATATTTTATAATTCCAATTTTATTACAAATATTTACATATATGAGGAGTGAAAAGACAAATATCCTCAAAATATCAGCAGGTCTCACTCAGAAGGGGCAATATGGGAGATTTTTCTTTGCAATTTTCTGCACATTTAAGGTATTCTTTAACAGATGCGTTCTGTTTTCATAATTAGAAAAAAATGTTGAAGAATTTGTTTAAATACTAATAGATTGTCTTCTTCATACATATACTAGGGAACTTTTTGCTCCTTTTCTCGAGGATCCATGTTAAATAAATGCCTGGAGTCAAAAAACTGGATGTAAGTCTCAGGCATAAATCAGTCTTTGTGGAAAAATAAAGTAGAAGGCACTTCTGAGATGAAAATTTGCTTATAGTTGCTAACTGATCATTGTGCTCAGGATTTACATATCATATAAGAATTCCTATAACTAATATTTTTTAAAAATATTGCAGTTATTTGGCCTAATATTTAAACCAAATATTGCTTTAAAAAACATTGGATAAAGAAAAACAGTACTTACAATGATCCTATTATAACATTTAAAAATCTCAGCAAGTAGCATTTACAACCCCTTAGATAGGACTTAGCTCTACACTTTTATTCTGGTGTGACAAATTTATAGAGGTCATTGGTTTTAAAGAGTTCTTCACAGTGACTGAGACTACAGAGCCATGAACTAGCAATTATTCACCTCAAAGGGGGAAGCATTTAACACAAAGCATTAAGTTGATGTGATGGTACAAATTTACACTTTTCTGTAGAGAAAGAAATGGAGGTGATTGGCTTCTTAAAGAAAAATTGGCATTGAATTTCTACGTGTGACAACAAAAAATGTAAAAGGAAACACATTAAGAATAACATTAAATTCTGTTCAAAAACTGCTATCGCTTGTAACAAATGAATCTGGTATCAGAAGTCATGATAATTATCTTTGAAGGAATGGCAAGAATAATAACTTGGAGGGAACAAGAGGGTGCCTTCTGGGATGCTGATAACATCATTTTTAAGTTTAAATTAGTATTAGTTACATTCATGTTTCATTTTGATGATTCACTGAGCTCTCTACTTATGATTTGTTCTTTCCTGTATATATCTTATGCTTCAATTAAAAAGTTTAAAATTTGATGTATACCTGTAGTGGGTTCTGGAGTCAAACTGATAGGGATCCAAATCCTTTTAGTAACTAGCTATGGGATAAAAAGTACATCTCTCTGAACTTTTGTTTCTTCATCTGTAAAATGGGGAAGAGGGGAGGGATCTACTTCTCAGTGCTACTGTGAGAATTAAATGACAACTACTGTGACTGGTACATACACTCAAAACTGTCAGCATTTCCTACACCCCTACCCTTGCATTCCACAATTACATAATTATTGGATAAATAGTTTAAATAATTATAATAGTTTCCAAAACATTTTTTTTTGAGTCATGAAAAACAGAATGGGATTCAAACGTTTTACTGACCTAGGAATTAAGACTGATCAATTAAAGTCATGGCAAATCAAAAGGCCATTATCAGAAGGTGCTGAACAAAAGTAAAAACAGAAATGGAAACACTGCTAAATACTAAAGGAGCAATTTTAAATACTGTATCACTGCATATATCAAGTCTGCACTGACAATTCCAAACCAAAAAGCAAAGCCTAACATACTTTAAAAATCATCACTACTATTCCTTTGGAAAAGATTCAGGTCAGGCTGGCCTTTGAAACAAACTCTCAAAGAGGCAACTCCTAATCTACCATATTAAAAAGTCAGTCAACACTGACAACTGATCAATCTAGAAATAGCAGTATAAGTAAGCATTATCACTTAGAGGTAAATAAAGAAGAGCAGAGAGTAGTCTGGGGAGCAGACTAAGAGGTGACAAAATTTATTTTTTGTTACAAGCCTTATAAAATTATTTGAATTTTAAATCTATGTGCGCTTATAAAGCAAATACGCTATTTTAGGCAAATTTTAAAGATTATGGAAAATTACAATTATGAGGAAAAACAATTTTCTAATACCCAAGTGTAAGGGTTTTTATATATCACGAAGTTTTAGGAAGGGAAGAAATCTAAAGATCACCTTATTGGTTCAACTCTTAGACAATGAATCTGAGGAGGAGAAGGGGACAAGCCCATGACCAGCAGCTTACCCACCTCTTGCCTCTCAGACCATGCTCAATGACATTAATCCCAGGCTGGCTGCATCAGAATCACTCAGGCAGTTTAAAGTAGGAGAAAAAGAGCACCCAGATTCAGTAATCTGTAATGGGG